CCGCTTGGAAAATCACCTCTAAATTCCTCTGCAGCTCTCACCTCTCCTCCTCCTCTTTTGATTGGGAGTCAAATGAAAACCCACACTGGAAACATCCTGTGACCTTAAAGCTGCATTATGCTGCTTATGACTGCATGAATTGATCCATCTGCTGCGTTGTGTTCAGGGATTAAACGACTCACATTTTGGGCCAAAATATGACCTTAAAGCTGCGCCAGGCAAGATTTTTATGCGTTATTAAATCTGCAGCAGCTTGCTAACTGTAATGTTGTAGGGTCACCCAAAGAGTACAGAGCTGGATTACATGAATAGCAGGACAATCTGTGCACAGGGGGATGAAAATAATTACATTTGGGGGCATATGCACTAAAAAGATCCTATTTTTTATGGCTAGGTCCTTCAGCTTGCAGCCTTTCATTTCCATTTTGGAGCACCTGCACAGAAAGGATAGTTTGCATCATTGTAACACACGTTTGCAGAGCAGACAAACATTCAGGCGGTCAACCACCTCATACCCTCACCTAACAATGAGACCACCTGAGGCACTTCACTGATTTTCTCTGATAATGAAACGGGCTGAGCAGGAACCACGGCGACCAACTTTTCCTCCAGATTTCTCTTCTGTTTTTGATCTAGAGTCGTTTTTTGTTTTTTCCACTGATGACAGAGATAAACATTTGTCTCTGATTGTTTCAGTGCGCTTACATTTCCAGGAACTATGATTATGAAATAAATTCAGGGCTCTTCAAAAAAATAAAAAAGCTCCACAGCAACTTTCTCATCAACGTGTTGATCGGCAAAAAAAGTCAGATGTTGAAGCAGACACAAATTCCCCAATCCAACCCCCCTTTTGATGCAATCCTGCCCTTACATATAGTTATGTTTATGTCCAACTTTCTGAATGTGATTCAGCTATTCATATGGATCTGTTTTGGTGCTCATTGTAACATCAATTCAGGTGCATCCTGGGTAGGAAACATTACTTCTACCTTCAGTGTTTTGTGAAAGTAGGATTTAGACTAGTTTGGATATCTGTTAAAATACACAAACTTTGAACTCATGCTGAAACCGTGCATCACATAAACTAAGAGATTTGAGTGTGACCTCCTTTTTACATATGTTTCTCTCTATAAATGCCCAAAACGTTCTCTTACTGGGTGTGACATGGGAAAGACAAAGCAGTAAAGAGAGGGAGAGAGTGACCTTCTCTTTTAGGTTTTTCCCACCATCAGCAGATGTTGTCGGGGCTACGCTGGCTGTTGAGTCTGCACTGCTGGTGGTTTCATCATGAGTCATGCCAGCACAAAGGCTGGCCTGCAGCAGGAGCTTTATGGTCCAGATAGACTTCATTAAATAAAGTGTTTATTGAGCTGCAGGCCTGCTAACATTCAGGTGCATTCAGGAATTAACACATTTTACATCCGTTCATGCAAAAGCACACTTTCAAGTCGTTGTGTTTTTCATTTAGAGTGAGGAGAGGAATGTAACCTTGTAAACCACGGCCAGACGGAGGTTACGGTCAAACCCAAATCAGTTCAGGAGGGACTCTGTGTGTCTGTGCATTGTAAACCAGCAGACATGGTTTTGGTTATATGCAGATCAAAAGGGTTTTTTTTAGTGTTCAGTGTGTGTTTAGTGTTTAGTGATGTAAATCCATGTGCAGAAACTGATAATCTACCAAAGTCCAGGTAATTTAAACCAGGGATCTCTGAGAGAACAGAACTAAATGCAAGGAAAACACTACTTTAATTTCCAGGTTTGTAAGTCACATGCAAAAGCTTCCTGAAGAGCCGGCGTTCTGTTGAGATGTCTTGCTTTGTGCAGTGTTGTTTATACCGTGAATTGAGAGCAGAGGCTATCCTATCAAATGATGCGGTGCGATTGCTCTGTGAGGAAAAGGAAAGCATCTTCTGAAGCTCTACCAAAAACATTTCTTTTAAGATGCACAGAGCCAAATGGAAGCACATACTGATGGGTTACATTAGTCGATAGAACACCAGTTAATTCAGTCAATTATTCTTTGCTTCATGTATCACAAGGCATTACATGGTCTATCTTCTTTAAATTTTAAAATGCTGTTCACTCTTTTGTAAGGCTAAAACTAAACATGCTAGGGCTTTGTTGCTGTTGTTGTGACTCCTCACGGCGTCGCACAAAGTGTCAAAATAACCTTTCATGGCGCAGTTCCGCAACAGTGCTGCTCCACCATCATTAAGCCTGAAGACATTAATTTTAATTCTGCTACCCCGTAATATTTGTGTCCAAGTCTGTGAATTCACATAGGGCGTTGCAGAACTGCTAGAGAGCCCAGCACAGCGGAGCTCCACATACACACACACTGATACATGCACACACACACACAGTGCTGTTCCTCCCCCGCAGATCCTGCCTCGTCCCTGTAAACACCTCTGATACCTCCGAAGGCGGCACAGAGTAGGATCACTTTGTCCCCTTGGTACATTTAGCATTCACATAGGGCGTTGCAGAACTGTAGAGAGCCCAGCACAGCGGAGCTCCACATACACACACACTGATACATGCACCACACACACAGTGCTGTTCCTCCCCCGCAGATCCTGCCTCGTCCCTGTAACACCTCTGATACCTCCGAAGGCGGCACAGAGTGAGGATCACTTTGTCCCCTTGGTACATTTAGCATCATTCATATTAAATGCGTGCAGGTCACAGGGGGTAAATATTGCACCTTGAGTCGGTAGTCTGAATAGAGCTGAATAAAGTCAAATCATTTAAGCCATTTAAAGCTCAAGTTTGCCTTCCTCTTCTGTTAAAAATATTTTCAAAGATCACAAGTAACAGTTTTCTGTAGACATCATTGAAATGACTTCATAACAATGTTTAGTTAAGACCTTCTATGAATGGAGGATAGTCACTTAAATACTGTTTAAGAACCACAGTGACAATGCAACTTCAACGCTTTAAATTTAGCCCGGTTCAAACTAAAATCACCAAACAAACATACCAAGTCTGGCCAAAGTTCACGGTTGTCAGAAGAGACTTAGTGGTTCTGTATGTTTGACAGTCATGATTGCTCATTCTTGCAGAGCATTCCCCTCTCATTGTTAAACTCTTCACATTGACTCTAAACAGCATGCTTAGTGTGTTCCACATGTTTATGAGTTGAGGACAACAGTTAAATCTTTGCTAATGCTTGTGGTCGAGTGAGGAAAGAGCTTTTTTTCGCCTGAAGGCCGCAGCCTTGGATTAAAACTAAAATTAGCCGACCAGATTGACCACCAATCATAATCAGAGTTGCTTACGGGGCGTTCAAACATCCTTCATAAACTTTGTCCGGTCATGGTGTGGAGACGATTCAAACAAGGAAGTGAGACGCTGTGATTTAAGCTTATTTTTTTTAGGGGGGATTTGTGCTGTTGAGCTATTTCTGCTCTGTTTGTGTTTTCACAAATCAGGTTGTTAAGGTTTAGCGGTTAAACAAGCTTAATCTGCTAATGAGGCAGATGGAGCGGGGGAGTGTGGGGGACTGATGAAGATGACTGTGGTGAGGAAAAAGGATGTTTTCACCAGTAGTAGACCAGAGTGAGGTTTGATGATGCAACTAAAGCGAAAGATGAAATACAAGCCGATTTTAAAAGACATTACAGACCAATTGTGGTGTTTTTTACACTTTTTGGGGTTGAAAAAGGCCCTGAAACAACATCATGGGACATTTAAACTCTATATTGAATGTTTCATTGCATGTTTTCTGTTTTTAACGGGTAAAATCAAATCATTCGCAGTTATATGCACACGTTTGTGGTTTCATGATCCAAATCACACTCATTTATTTAAAAAAAAAAAAAAAAGAAGGTTCAATTATGTTTTTTCCAACTGAAAGCGTTCCAGGGAATGGTTCAGGTTGAACAAGAACAGAGAATCTACACTATTGAAATACAAGCTTCATGTCAAACTTATAATGACTGATGAACAAACCTTTAAAAACGTGAATGAAGACATTTTCTGTCCTTTGTTGAACCTGCTGGGTAAACAGGCCTGCACTAATCACTCAGCGTGCTGCGTTTTAACTACAGAAAATTCATCAGACAAACCGGCTGAGATTTCTTTGAGCTTGTTAAAGTGTTAAAAATAACCTTTAGCTCCACTAGCTCTGTTTTCTGAATGGTTTATTGTTGGTGCTGCTGTGGCAAAGACAGTTCAGAGCTCCACTGAACACCGACAGCACCGTGAATTTTGCATCATGTGCTACCGCTATCTGATTCATGAAGAAGTTACACTAATGTCATTAAAGAGCAAACACGCCCAGAGAAAGGTTGTCCTGCTCTGTGCAGTTAGCTCTGGTTTTTGTGTGATTTTGTAGAAGAGGCTGTTTGCAATTCAACTCTCTTCACCTTACAACACATCAGGAGCATCATGTGCTACCGCTATCTGATTCATGAAGAAGTTACACTAATGTCATTAAAGAGCAAACACGCCCAGAGAAAGGTTGTCCTGCTCTGTGCAGTTAGCTCTGGTTTTTGTGTGATTTTGTAGAAGAGGCTGTCTGCAATTCAACTCTCTTCACCTTACAACACATCAGGAGCAGAGATAACCACCTCTGCTTTATCTGTGTTCAGTTTGAGAAAGTTTTCCGCCAAAAATAATGCTGTGCATTCACTGATTTAAAAATCTGAAGTCTTTTTGATGGGTCTAACAGCTCTGTGATTTTTTAACGACAGTTTAAAGGTCCCATTAAGTTGTTTTTCTGAAGTTTTTGTTTGGTCCACATACAATAACCTTCAAGGAGTTCACAAGGTTTAGAATATTCTGTGACAGAAAGCTGTAACTTTAGTGGGATTAAAAAGGTTTTAATGTCAGATTCAGGCTGCTCTGACATCACTTCTTGTTTGTACCCTATGTCTGGTGTGTGACCCCTCGATGGCTCCGCTTTTAACTCAAGCACCCACTTACTTACAAGTGTTTTATCGCGTTCCTGCAGCCAAGAGAGACGAATGGCAGGGAGGACGGTGTTGTCACGGCGGCTTCAACCGGAACGCTGAAAATCTGCAGGCAGCCTGTACTTCACCTCAGGCCTCAGGCTGCTGCAGAAAAATGTTTCATACATCTCTGACACTGATTTCTGAGCCTTTTCAACTCCAATACTACCAGAAAAAAGACACACTTACAGATTCATACACTTTTGAAAGAATGGGAAACTTAAATAACTCAAATAAGATGGTAAAGTGTTGTACAAGTGTCATATATTGTTTTTTATTTGTTGCAAGTTATACACTCTATAATGTAAGATCACAGATCTGTAACTTAAAACTCAGACACATAACAAACCTTTTTTACATTTTCTGCAGGACTTCACCATGACTCTATACCTGCGTCATTACTGGAAAGACGAGCGGCTGTCGTTTCCGTCCAGAAACAATCAGAGCCGGACGTTTGACTCGAGGCTGGTGAAGAAGATCTGGGTCCCCGACGTCTTCTTCGTCCACTCGAAGCGCTCGTTTATCCACGACACCACCATGGAGAACATCATGCTGAGGGTTTACCCCGATGGAAACATCCTCTACAGCGTCAGGTACGGGGACAGGAACGGGAGGACAACTTCAAGTTATTTCACATTTTCAGATGTGTTTTGTAGATGTGGAAAGTAATAAAGTTTTTCTTAGTATTTTCGAACATTTCACTTCTTTTTCTTCTATAGGAAAACACATCACTCTGTGATCCTCTTTGTTTATCTGACAGGTTTAATGCTTATTGTTTCAGATAAAATGTTATACCATAAAACTCAATTAATAGCCCGGGCTTTTATTTACTGCAGTCTTTGAAATAACTCTGCCTTTGTTAGGGACAGGCGTCAATATGAGATGGGCCTTTAATTATTTAAAAACAAAACTCATGCACAGCAATAATGGAAAAGACTAAAACATTTACGTTACACCAGAAAGAATATTTCAGTGTGAATGAAATAAGGCTATTAATAAACAATTGGATCATAAATCAGTAATTTGATCTTTCTTTGTAAGAAAGCCCAACCTGCTGCTCAGTGGGCGGAGAGGGAGACACCTTATTAATATATTTATGATATGCAAACTCATCCACACTTAATGCACAGAGGCCTCTAATGAGAACTAAACACACAAACACCTTAAAATGTGAAAATACAACCAAAGTTAATTTACAAGTTGATAGAAATTAAAGTGGCATCTATTACGATCATCATTTAAATTGTTTCTCAGATAAGCATCAAACATGATTTCATAGTTGCAATATGTCAGGTGTGAGGAGTTGCTGCTCTCGCTTTGCTCCATAAAAAAATGTGTTTGTACATATTGCAATAGTTTAAAGGTTTGGACTAATGTTTGGAATAATTGATGATTGGGGCGTGATGACTTCATGTGTTGACATTTGTTTTTTTGCGTTTGTGTTTTTCAGAGTCACAGTGACGGCTCTCTGCTCGATGGACTTCAGTAGTTTCCCTCTGGACACACAGAACTGCTCACTGGAGCTGGAGAGCTGTGAGAAACACACACACAAAAAAAACACAAAAACACACACACACAATATTTATATACTGCACTTTCCCTTGTCCTCTTACATCATGAAGTGAGTTTTATTTTATTATCACAACATGTTTATATGGCAAATAAAGGACTGGGTTTAAATCTGACCCAGACCCTTTGTTGCGTATTATTCCTCTCTCTCTCTCTCTCTCTCTCTCTCTCTCTCTTGTTCTCTTTCTCTCTCTTGTATTTCCATTTATCTACATCTCTGTCTATTAAAGGCCATAAATCCCCTTAAAGAGAGGGCTAAGTGTCCAATTCTAAACAAAAAAGGAGCCAAGAGGTCAAAAAGCTCCAGCAAACACACAGCACACTACAAGAGTAGCTGGAGTTGTGCCGGAAAAAATCCCACTCTGCTTCTTCAAACAAAAAAGGAGCAAAACTGATATTTTCTATGATTATTCATAACAGGACCTCTCAGTTTCACCAGGTGACCCATTTGAGGGACTAGATCCCTAGGTCGGGAACCAATGTACTACGTTTAACAAGCTGAATGTATAAGGTGGTCAAATGTTACTCTGGCAACTTTGATGCCATGCAGGAGGAGTCAGTGCTTTTATCTGAAGAGACGTATACAGTTTTATTCATATAAGGATATAAACAGGGTAACTTTTTCTAAATACTTTCATCGCAGGTAGCAGGATTTAATCAGACAACTTCCAGCAGCAGCAACATTTGTTCTCCATCTATTTTATGTTTAGTTCTCATCTGTTCTATAATATTCATCACACTGATCTCTTCCTGTCTCTCTCTCTCTCCACAGACGCGTATAATGAGAACGACCTGATGCTTTACTGGAAGAACGGGAACGACTCTCTGAGGACGGACGAGATCGTCTTGTCTCAGTTCTTCATCAAGCATTTCCACGCCTCCAATGGCCTGGCCTTCTACAGCAGCACCGGTGTGTGTGTGTGTGTGTGTGTGCGTGTGTGTGTGTGTGTGTGTGTGTGTGTGTGTGTGTGTGTGTGTGTGTGTGTGTGTGTGTGTGTGTGTGTGTGTGCGTGTGTGTGTGTGTGTATTCATGTGCTTGTGTTTTCCTTTGTTCTTGTGAGTGTCTGTGTGTGTTCAATAACCTGAATTCAAAGAGAAAGAGCAGCAGCATCTGTTTTCTATCCATTGTGAATAACAATTCATTTGTATATTCTTAATAACCAAAAGTATGTAGACTCTGCAGTCTCTTTGTGTTTTGTTTATCTCTGCTTCCTGTCATGGTTCAGGCTTCTCATTTCCAATAAAGGCACATCTTAAGGCAACATTATGCAAGTTCACCTTAAAGTTAACGATTTAAATTATTTTTATGTTACTCTGACTTTGTTAGGAAAATGTGTCTCTTCTGTTTCTAACCTGCACCACATTCTTTGAAGTGTTAAACATCTCTAAAAGTCTTAGCGCTTTATTCTCAGTACTGACCACATGGTAGGATCAAAGAGACCAAGCGGATGGTTTTGTGGATGGTTAAACACTGACAGGCTACAAGCCAAAAACAGAAAAACAAAACGAAACTGGTGAGTCCTAATTAGTACCACCGGCCATACTCCAGTGAACATGCCCACCACCAATCACTGAGCAGTAAACAATAAATAAAAACAACATGTTCCTTTAAAGGTCATGTGAGGAGTTTTTAGCTGGTCTGAATTTAATACAGATGCTTCTCTATAATTCACAAAAGCAAATGAGACTATCAACAACTTTTTTGATGATTTTTCTACAAATAAGTTATTTCTAATTCCATTTACAGGATCAGTGTCAGCAGCACCCTGCAGAAAAAAGCCTGTATTTCCACAGCAAGGATTCACAGTGACTTGCAATTTAGAAATAAAAAAAAAAAAAGCAGGATGAGATATTAGCAGAAAACACAACATACACACACATGCACAAGACTAGATCAGCACAGAGATACGAGTTACCACTTTGTCCACAGGAATCACTTCAGATCAACACAAAAGGGAAGTTTAACTACTGCATGTGTTGTCAACTGTTCATGTTTTCCTAATTTGCATTTGTTTACATAGAGTTGTAATTCATTTAGCTCTCAAGTGAATCATGATTTAAGCTTTAGGAAATTATTCAAATTAAAAAGAAAAAGAAATGCATCCCTAGTTGTCCCTGTATTGACCCACAGACAGATGTGACTTTTCACAAGTGTCTGCAAAGCACATTTGATCTTTTCAGGGGATTCTAGATACAAAAAGAAATGTAGTGGCAGATTTAGACAAGGATGTACTTCCATCTTCAGTTTGTGTTTGTCATATGTACCTCTACAAAGCCAGGTTCAAACCCTGCAGCCGGGTTTAACATGTTGTCCAAACTGCAGCACTTGAAGGAACATTACAGATACTCAACAATGTGTGTCTTTCTGTCAGGGTGGTATAATCGACTGTTCATCAACTTCATCCTGAGGAGGCACATCTTCTTCTTCATGCTGCAGACGTACTTCCCCACCATGCTGATGGTGGTCCTTTCCTGGGTGTCCTTCTGGATCGACAGGAGAGCCGTCCCTGCTCGTGTCTCTCTGGGTAATGCTTTAAATTCAAAATAACATGAGACAAAACCCACGTCTGAGCTCTAAAATGTCATGATTCACTTTGTGGGAACAAACTGTCTGGCCCTGAAGAGGAGACCAGTGTGAACTTATTTTTATTTTTCAATGATATACTGAACATTTTTATCATGTGGAAATTGCATGTTCAGACTCTGTATGTGTCACTTAGAAAGACATCTCAAGTTTTTAGCTACCTACAGGTGGATTTTTTAGCCTTTCTGCTCCTGCTTGCATATTTCTGTGCCTACTGTTTCCCACTTGGCGGGGTTTGACATGTTACTCTCTCTGTTGGCATGAACACAGCTGCCTTCCACCAAGTTTACATTAAATCAGTTTTGCTGCACACTTTCAATTGAGGACTTTTTTAGACATAAACAAATTAGGATTAATACATTTTTACTTTCAAATTTCATATGAAACTCAACGACTCAGATATCTTTTGCTTTAAGACAAACTTCCTTGAAATTGCTGTTCTTGATCTTTGATTTGAACTCTTTTTTTTTCTCGCGTCACAGATCAAATAAAAATCCATTTCATGTATTTCAGCGCTGCCGTTGATGATGAAGAACTGTCATATCATAATTATAATGATCTCTGTTTAATATGAATTTTTCAATAAGTATTAAAATAATTTGTTATTCTAAGGGTTTTGTTAAAAAGGTAATGTGATGCTTTCTCATTCTGCAGGTATCACCACGGTGCTCACCATGTCCACCATCATCACCGGAGTGTCCTCCTCCATGCCTCAGGTATCAGCTGGGGTTGTTTGGGTCTAAGATGCATTCAGGTATAGTGGGACTTAGTTATGTGTAGTTATTGTTTATATTTGATCGTGGTGTGTTTGTGGTCCAGGTGTCATATGTGAAAGCAGTGGACATCTACCTGTGGACCAGCTTCCTGTTTGTCTTTCTTTCTGTGATCGAATATGCGGCTGTGAACTACTGCACCACTCTTGAGGAGATGAGGAAGATGAAGAGGGGGAAGGTCAGCACTGACGACACATGGGGATTATTCCTGCACAGTGAGGGAACCATGGGAAGAACAGGGAATCATACCACTCAAATTTTTACCTAGAGTCTCCCTCTAGTGGCCACTTAGGGACACTCACAGCAATTTTAATCTTTAATTTTCTCTTCCACATATCTTTTGTATTCATGGAAGAGCCAAATTATTTATTTTTTAACCAATCAGATTTATCTAATTAGAAATTGTGCAGTTTGGAGCACAGAAAGTAAAAAAAAACATTGACAGAACAAAGAAACAGAACAAAACAAACAAATTTAAACAGTGCTTCATAGACTTTTTGACACTATTTATTTTTCAGGCACACATTCAAGGCTTACTGAAAACAGCTTCACAACCCACTTTCGGGCCTGACCCACCTGAGAACCACTGCTACTGTATAATGGATCTGAGAAACTTTAGCTAAACGTTTTCATGAGTAGCCGTGACACATTTTCAGACATCATGCTTTTAGTTATTGTCTGCCAAACCCTACATCTTTCATCTGAGGAGGATTGAAAGGTGCTTGGATTTTGAATGATTATAATCTATTTAACTAACACAAAGACTTTTGATAAACCTGATCAGCACAAAATTAAATGTAAACATCACATTATATCTTATTTGCAATTAAACTCTTTCTGTACGGTTTCAGATCCCATCCACATATAACGCCAGCCAGGCGATGGCCTTCGACGGCTGTTTCCATGACGATGAAATTGAGCTTACTACATTCCCTCGAATGGCGCCCACCCTGACCACTGATCCCCTCACCAGTTCAGCCCAAAGCCCCGACATCAGGCCCATAGAGGGCACTCGCCTCCACCGGCAGCGGTCACTGCGGGAAAACGTGGATCTGCTGGTCAGCAACAGCTACATGATCGACTCATACTCCCGCCTTGCCTTCCCAATGTCCTACCTGCTCTTTAACATTATCTACTGGAGTCTGTACTCCTGATCCAGAACTGAAAGATCTACTGAAGTCTGTACTCCTGATCCAGAACTGAAAGATCTACTGAAGTCTGTACTGCTAATCCAGAACTGAAAGATCTACTAGAGTCTGTACTGCTGATCCAGAACTGAAAGATCTACTGGAGTCTGTACTCCTGATGCAGAACTGAAAGATCTACTAGAGTCTGTACTGCTGATCCAGAACTGAAAGATCTACTGGAGTCTGTACTCCTGATGCAGAACTAAAATTTCAACTGGAGTCTGTACTCCTGATCCAGAACTGAAAGATCTACTGACATTTGTACTCCTGATCCAGAACTGAAAGATCTACTGGAGTCTGTACTCCTGATCCAGAACTACAAGATCTACTGGAGTCTGTACTCCTGATGCAGAACTACAAGATCTACTGGAGTCTGTACTCCTGATCCAGAACTACAAGATCTACTGGAGTCTGTACTCCTGATGCAGAACTACAAGATCTACTGGAGTCTGTACTCCTGATCCAGAACTGAAAGATCTACTGGAGTCTGTACTCCTGATGCAGAACTACAAGATCTACTGGAGTCTGTACTCCTGATCCAGAACTGAAAGATCTACTGACATTTGTACTCCTGATCCAGAACTGAAAGATCTACTGGAGTCTGTACTCCTGATGCAGAACTACAAGATCTACTGGAGTCTGTACTCCTGATGCAGAACTACAAGATCTACTGGAGTCTGTACTCCTGATCCAGGACTGAAACGTCAACTGGAGTCTGTACTCCTGATGCAGAACTGAAACGTCAACTGGAGTCTGTACTCCTGATCCAGAACTGAAACGTCAACTGGAGTCTGTACTCGTGATCCAAAACTGAAAGATCTACTGGATTTTCTACTTCTGATCCAGAACTGAAATATCAACTGGAGTCTGTACTCCTGATTGAGAACTGAAAAACTCACCAGACTCTGACGATTCAGCAGAGAGTGAGCTGAAGTATACCGATTCTTCGCAGGGCTCTGCTGACTCTGAAATAAGTCTTTCTCACAGGAGCCTCTTCAGCTGCAGCTCCAACATTAATGGTCTTCCTTACAGGAGAAACAAAAGCATACCAGTACCTCAGAGTATGGAACTCTAAATTGACCACAGTTACAACCAGACATTGGTCTTGGGAGCGGTTTGAATTGAACATAATGAATCTTCTTTCTTTTTTTACAATCTTTACATAACTTTTATAATAAACCACTATAATTATCATTTTCCCTAACACCAGGGAAAATCAATAAGAATTAACCGTTATTTAAACAAATACATATAATTATACTCCTCTTTTGATGAATGATGTGAATGAGCCAAGTAACGACTGAACATGATATTTGATTTCATTTCTCATACAATTTGTTTTTGTTTATGAAGATTTAAAAGTGAATTCATGTGTACTTCAGGGACATGTGAATTTTAAGTTGTAAGCCTGCAGGGATGTTACTATTAAACAACACCTTTGAAGTGGCTCTATAGAAGTTTCTTTGGGCACTCCTGTTTTGAATTTTGATAAATACAAAATAGTTGAAACACGTTGTTTGTTTGAAAGTGAAGTTTAAATTAAAAGAAGCAATACAGCCTTTATGGAGGACTAAAAGTGCCAAAATTAAATATATAAATATATAATTAATTAAATCATTAATGTGTCATCAATTATTTAATATTGGAAATAAATCAACAAATATATATATATATATATATAAATATATAATCATTTAATTAATTAAATGCATGTCGTAATAAATAAATAATTTATGAAATACATAAATAATTAGATAAATGTTTAAATAATTACATAATACAATAATTACAAACCGCCTAGTCTGGCAACCCTGTAGACCAAAGCAATGGTTTGTGACTCGATCAGCGTTAATCCCGCCCATTGAGTTTGATGATGACAGATAAAATTATTTCATGAGGTACTGCTGGAGTAGGAAACATGAAATAATTAAATAAATAGTGGAATAAATAGATGTGTTTTTACATAGAATGAATGAACATTTAAACATTTATTTAATTATTTATGTATTTCATAAATTATTTATTTATATATTACCAATTTTAAATAATGAATGACACACGTAAATAATTATTTAATAATTTAATAACACATACATTTAATTAATTAAATACTTATATATTTATTTATATATTTGTTGATTTATTTCCAATATTAAATAATTGATGACACATTTAATGATTTAATTCATTATATATTTATATATATTTCATTTTGGCACTTTTAGTCCTCCATACAGCCTTCTAAATATATAGGATCAAAGCTAAATATTTAAAATGTAAACTAAATGTTTAGAAACGTAGCTAAATATTTAGAATCAGGACATGTATTTTTAACATTTATATATATATAACATTTAACATTTAGATAAAACATTCAATATTTCGATATAATATTTAACATTTATATTTGCCAATGAAATTATCTTACATTTTTATTCACAAAAGTAAATATGACAAAGTTGACAAATATTTCTCTAAATGTGAATAAAAAGTGATTTTTTTTTTTTTAGGGGTTAAAAGTGTTGAAATGTTGTTGTTGTTTGTAATACCTGCCTGGCCCTGAACCTCTTCAGTAGTTTCCATAGCAGCTGCAGGATGTTTCTTTTTGCCCTTCAAAAATCAACGTTAACTGGCGGTATTAAGACAGCACACACCGTGAGAAAGGCGCAGAAATCAAGCCTGACGTAAACGCATCAGGAGGAGGACAGGTGACAGGTGGGTTACTAAAATGAAAACAGTGACAGAAGTCGTTTTAAGCAACGCAAAGTTGAAGATACATTTAAAGTTTAGTTAAACTCGCTTTAGCCGTTAGCCTCTTCAACGTTCACTGTGACGCGTCGATTGATCGGACGTTGGCTAACTCGGAAACGTTAGCTGCTGATTTCCGCCTGAAATCACCGAAAGATTGTCCCCGAACATCTTGATTAACTTGACTCACATTTGCGAAAGTGTGATTTTTATGTCGCAATAACGCTTAGAGCTTCATGCCAAGTGAAGAGGACCACACTTTAAACCGAAGTAAATCACCTTCAAAGGTAAAAGAGCTTAAAACAAGCCAGACAACTACGGTAGCTTTTTTTTGTTTTTGTTTTTAGCAACACCAAAGTTTCTTGCAAATTGTTTTTAATTTGTGTTTTATGCTTAAAGTTGATTGATAGCTAAGCAGACAACCATGCTGAGTACAAAGTTGATTTAGAAATACAGTGGTTAACGTTAAAATCAGTTTGTTCGTCTGTTTTGTGGAGAAATTGTGTTGTTTCCTTTAATGATGACATTTTTGAACACAGAGATATATAGACATCTCATTTACTATTTATGTTTAAAAACCATATCTGCATCAGAGCCTTTAAATGATTAAAACTCACAGTTAAGTGACTGGGTAATGAAGGTTAGATGTGTTTCTCCAAACCACCCTTCAACTTCACAACAAGGTGTTTACTAAGATCTTTATTAAACCACAGTCATTCTTGCAATTAGGCTCTATGTGTTTTGGAAACCTGTGTTTTCTGCAGCTTTTTCATGACTAAATGTATTTTTTTTATGCCAAGCCAACCTTATCTAGTCCGAAGTTTATAAACTTTATAAACAGTGAGGTTATAGCTTTGAATACAGGTCGGTATCAGCCTATATTAGGAAGACAATGATAAAGGTGATCAGTCAATCTTTATTTGTGTAGTGACAATTCACAACAAATGTCATCTCAAGACACTTAACAAAAACAGCAGGTCTGGACCTTACTCTCAGTTATATTATTTAGAGACTCAACAGTAATCCGCCACGAGCACACCACCATCAACATTAAGCAAATTCACAGTGGCCAGGAAAAACAAATGTTGAGCAGAAGCAGACTCATGTTGAACAGCCGTCTGCTGAAACTGTGTTGTTGTTAAGATTGGATAAAGGGAGACAAACATAAAGAGCGATAAAGAAGAGTTATAGCTACATCGCCAGTAGGAATGGTGAAAGTTCTTGTGACATTAGCAGCAACAAGAATGTACTATAATAGACCGATCATTTCAATATCAACGTTATCGACTATAATGAAAAACAAATGGGAAGGACTGATGTAGAAGTTAGACTCACATTCACTTACATGGGTTTTTGATGAACTAATTGTTAAAACAGCCGTAAGGAGTAATGGAAAAAGTCATTGTTGACTCAGTCATTAGCTTTAGCTGTATCTCAAACAAACACTATGCTTGTGCCATCAGTGACTTTACTTCTGTCCAATCTGCAGTTTTTACCCAGACACTTTTTTAGCTTGAGTCCATACTGAGGTGTTTTGGTTTTGCAGATTTTATTCATGCCAGCTGGTGTTGTGACTCACTTCCTTCTCTCCTCCACTCCCCCCTGCCAGTCTCCGTGGTGACCATCAACAGCAGCAGCAGCGCTCGTCCCCTTGAGTTAGCCATCAGCCTGTGTCACATGACTTCACACCAGAATCAACTGTGTCCAACTGATCCACAGGTGCAGTTAACGCTTGGAGCGCTTGGTCCTGGATACTACTACTACTACTACTACCAGGTACAGTAACATATATCCTTACTACACAGAAAGTATGACAACTGAAAGGCATCTCAAGTAACAAAACTATTCTGCAATTAGGTCTTCATACTGTATAGTTGTTCACACTTGTTTTAGATTGTCTCCAAGGATGTAAGATTTTAGTCTGCTGACCAACTAAGTTTGATCAGTTTTAGCTTAATATTAATAAAAAAAAAGGTTACTTCCAACAAAAAAACAAAACTCAATAACTTCAGCATCTCTATTTGAATAAGTAAACACTTTTAAAACTTTAGACAGGGAAAAAAAACAACATGCATATTGAGTAGACATAAATTATATCACAAAGTTATTGTAATATGAATTTGTTATTTATAAAAGTATCAGTAATCCCTAGCAAACGTTAAAATTTATTTAGAACTCAGTACTAATCTGATGAATTGTACTGACACTCGTTCAGGCGTGCCATGGGGACCTATGGAGAGGCCATGGAGTAAGGGGAGGGGGAAGAGCAGCGAGGGTTAAACTGATGTAAGTCAAAGGGAAAGGTGTCAGTGGGAGGGGGAGAGGAGTGAATGGTGGGACAGGGAGGAAGGAAGGAGGGGGGAGTTTCAAAGAGGGGGGAGGAGGATTGTACACTCCTGAATTGCCGCTCTGGGATTGGTCGTTGCTGGGCCATGTGCTGACCCCTCAAACTGTAGCCTAACTAGGGCTCCCGCATACATTTATATACGTACACACACACCACATACACACACATAAAGTGGTGTGCAGCCCTCTTTTGAGTGGCGGGGACATGTGAGCTCCTTCACATTTGCTATTCTGGGCCGGGGAGGGAAAAAAAAGGGGAGGGGAGAGGAGGGGGAGAAGCAGGGGGGAGCAGAGGGTCTTTTCTCTTTCTGCATGTGGCTGAGCCATCGCGAGGAGCTGCTCATGATTATTGTCTCGTGTTGTGTGGACTCACAGTGTGTTCGGCCATAGCAGTCTTGTGTTTTATTCCCACTCTAGGCCAGAGAAGATGGGGTGCTGCTTTAGTAAAGAGCTCAACCTTGGCCCGCAGACTGAGAGGAGCAGTCTGTTACAGACCCCGATCCACGAGGGGCTGAAAGAGGTGACAGAGCAGGTCAGACAACATGCTGCCGCTGTGGCTCAACAAGTGGGCTCAGCCATGGAGGATAAGAGTGGGGCGGACAGAGCAGAGGATGAGAAACGAGCTCCAGAGTTGGACCACAAAGTTTGTAAAGAGGCAGTCAGCGGGGACAGCTCCACGCGGAGCGAGGACGATCTTAAACCAGCAAGCCCTCACGAGGAGAAGGCAGCTATTATTATCACAAGCAGCACAAACACGCATACAAACGTGGACGCAGAGACAGATGGGACACAAACTGCCAGGGCCAGCTGCGGACCGGACCCGTATATGGAGATGCCCACACAGAGTCCAGTCCAACAGAAGCCTATGGATAATGCCGAAGTCAGAGCTTTATGGTTTACTCAGCTCCCTGATGAGCAGGAGAGGAAGACACCAGTGAGCTATTGGTCTGCTCCTGCCAGGTTACCTGACTGCCAGGGTGATGTCACAGTGCGTGAGTCGTCACAGGGGACAGACGATCATTTTCTGCTACCACCAGTCAGTGTGTGTCAAGGGAAACAACAGCACTTTGAGGATGAGGAAGTGTGTGTTGTTGCAACAACACTGGGTCAAGGTTTCGAAACGAGGACCCGGAGCTTCTACAGCATTTGTTCAATTGACGCCGATGACCTTGACCACGAGCACGTCCACAGCCAAAAACAAACAGCTGGAGCAACAGCCTCACCGCACACAGCTGAAAAAGAAACAGCTGCTCTGCCCTGCATGTCTGAGTCCTCACTCTCCAGCCAATCACACACAGATCAGACCGCAGACTGGGAGTGGAAAACAACTCGCCGGTCACATGATGACGAAGCAACTTCAGCCCAATCAGGTTCTGCAGATCAATCGTCTACCGTCCCGCCACGGACACACTCGGACAACTCACTCCCAGCACAGCAGACCGTCTCGCCTCGTCCGGTTGAACCCTCCACCAATCACATAAACATGGAGGAGTCTCAGGAGTCCAAAGCGCAAGGCTCCCAGCTTGAAGACATGAACTGTCAGACAGCTGCTGAAGACACAGATGAGTCCAAGGAGGACATGTTGATGACATCACACACTGATAAAAAGGCATCTGTTGAGGGATCAGAGGTTAAAGTATTAACAGAGGACAGTGTGCGTGTATTGGAAGAGAGTGTGTGCTCGGGGAACTACATGCCAGCACAGGGAGACTTCAGTGCCACAGAGGGAATATTGGACAAATTCCAGGGGGAGAAGTTGGATCAGTGTGTGGATTCTGGCTTCAATCCTCTGCAGGAGTCTGAGCTGTTAAAAGAGCATCAGACACAAAGCTCACAATCGGCAACTGCCACTCGTCACCTGAATCCTTCTAGTCACAGCCCCAGTCCTTTAAAGCTTGACTTCAAACCGCTGCTTAAAGAGGAAGCTTCTCTGCCTCTGTCTGAGATTGAGATGGGTAAATCGTCCCCGCAAAGTGAGGCCATCCCTGTCACTTTCTGCCACAGCGAGGATGTCCGCGACAGCAGCGCAACAGACACGACTTTAACAGAGGTGTCCTCAATGTCAACCATCTCTGCTGTATCATCATTGCCCATCGAGCTGACCGCCTTCTCCTGCCACACTACTCTGACTCCTCACTCAGAAGTAAAAAACACGCGTCAGCCCTGTGACGCCATCACATCTGACAAGTTAGATTTCAATTCAAATTGTCCAACATTGGAACTGATGAGCATAAGGCCTCCTAGTCAGCATGATGACAAACAGCCCAACATGAAACCAGAAGATTCTGTATTTTCTCCGAAGCATGGCTCCGATGATCCTTTTCAGGACTCCCTCATGAGCGGAGATGACAGACAGGCAGTCAAAAATCTGGAAATATGTCAAGATAGCAAACATGATGTGATAGGTGATGTGAAAGTTGTTTTACCTGCAACGACTGGAAGCGCCTTTCATCTTGAAACAAGGGATGAACATTGTGACATGCTGTCAGAGCCCTGTAACGACTTCATGTCTGTAAACACAAACTTCCCTGTTCACAACCTCAAGGGCCTTGAGAGCAGAATTGAGGATTCGAGTCTCTCTCAGCCTCCTGCTACTGAAAGTGAGCTATCTGTTTCTACTTCCTCTACTCCTCCTCCCCCTTATTTGTCTCTGTGCACATCATCTGAGGAATTTAAGCCAAGTGTTTTACCCGAGACTGAAGCTAAAATCATTCAGAGTGGATGCAGACAAATCCAAGTGCAGTTAAATGCACCAGAGGAAAAATGTATTCATGTATGTGAGGAAGGAGACACGACAGCTGCACTGGAGTCACAGACTTACCCGCCCCTCACTGTGACAATCAAACATGACTCTGCAGTTTCAGTAGAACAGCAGCTACATACTCTTCCAACAGCCTCTGAAAACACAGAATTATTAAGCGCCAGTGTTTTCTCTGACAGTGTAAATCCTCAGGTGGATATCAGCCCACAGAATGATACTGCTGACTGTTTACCTCAACCTGGAGAATTATCAGATGGAGTTCACTCAGAGGAGATGAATGAGGAGAAGATGTCACTGGGGAAGCATCCTGTCATCAGTGATATTCCTCAAGAAACTCAAGATATTTCAGTTACTGATGAGACATCTTCCCTAAACTGTGAGGTGCAGGACGATAGCAGCATGCATGACCTATATGTGGTTCTTAATGACCGTAGTTGTCCAGATGACAACAATTCAGTTTTAAACTGCAAGGAGGACAACACCCGGATCAATGTGGACCCAGGTCAGATTGATGCTTACGCCTCAACTCCATCATATGAGATTCACTTCCTGCGTCAAGAGCACACAACTGCTGAGGAGGGCGAGAGGGAAGGAGGGATGAGGGAGATGGTGTCTGAGTTGCTGGGAGAGGATGCTGATGCATCCATCTGCCGCCTATATCCCCAGCCCTGGATCAAACTGGGTCTGGAGGAGAGCTGCGGAGGCTGGGCTCAGGGCCCGTCTGAGGCTGATCTGGGTCAGGGTGAGGGTGAGACTAAGACGGAGTCGGAGCAGATCCCGACCTTGGTGTCAGAGCTGCAGCCCTCTATGGCTCTGCTGGGAGCTTACCCCTACAGCACTGTGATGCCTCAGGGACCCTGTGTGTGGGACTGGCACACAGACTGCACCCAGTCTGTAAGTGTTACTCTAGGGATGTTACTATACCAGAGTTTTAAACTTTATTGTGATAGTTGTAAAAAATGAAATTATATTGATACCAGTTTCAAAACAACAACAATAAAATTCAGTCATTTCTTCTTTAATTACCACAAAAATTGCAACCAAACTGGTTGCACAATGTCTAAATATAAACACAAATGTTGCCATTATATTTTTTATTGAGACATTCTGCAGGAGTTAACTTGCACATTTTGATAAATTCTTCATCATCTTAACCCTTTTCTTATAATGAAATAGATGTGTTTTTTTTTTTAAACTTCTGGACTTACCAATACTATTAATCATTTACAAGAAGTGGAGATTATATTGTGTTAGAACATGTGGTTTCAGAAGTGGCAAAGTGTTGAAAAGTACAGATGCGTCAAAGTTTTGATAACCTTAGTTCACTGTGCACGGCAGAGAGTTTGGTTCAGTTGAAGCTTTTCTTTCGATGTCTAATCCTCAAAAGTAGAAAAATATAGATGCCTGACTGATTCATGGGCAGACAGGTTTTTTGTGTCATTGAGGATGTTTTCTATTGAAACATTCACACAAAGAATTCACTCTGAGCAGGTCAGCATGAAGCATCCACTACTGAAGAGAGGCACAGAGTCCTTTTTACACAGATGTTACATAAGGGTTTTATGTCCTTGATACAGGCACAGATTTGTATAAATCAGAGAAGGAGTGAAGGAACAATAAGAGCCTGATGCTACAAAGTGAGGCTTATTGAGACTCTTCTAGCCTCTTCAGTTATTTAAACAGATTACATAAGAAATGCATGAGAATAATTTCTATCTCTTCCTGACTTAAAAGACCTGCAAACATGTGGGCCATTATCTTGTCTGTGATGTTGTTTTCAAATTAAATATGCCTTTCACATATTTCACATTTTCTAGCGTTTTTACAGATACATTTAACTTTCACGTCATATTAATATTGTGCCTCTTGTGTTTTGTATTTGTTTCAGACACCTGTTGCTGCTCCGAGCCTTAACCCTGACGCTGAGGTATGGACCAATCACAACTTTAGCCTTGACATCTCTGGCCCCGCCTACCTGCAGACCCAGCAGCCATGGCTGCAACTTCCTGATGATCTGACCAATCAGGAAGGTGGGATGTAGTTACGATTTATACATACCTGGTTCAATATTCTATTTAATCAAAACATGAGGTTTACACTCCAGTCCATTTATTTTGTGATGGAGATCAATTTATTTTTTGATCCTGACAAAAGCAGCATGCATTTCTGAATGACTGTCTGCATGTAAATCATGGTTTGTGTGTGGTTGTAAGATTATGTTGGATTATTTATAAGGATACATGCCAGAGTTCCAGATGGAGAATGTCGTCCTGGCTGAGGGGGTAGTCGAGGCAGATCCTGGCACACTAGAGTACCAGACGCTGACTGCAGAAGCTCCTGCAGTTAACGGAGAGCTGGGTGGACCTACTGTCAAAGGTCAGTCCAATCCAGTTGTTACTTCTTTAAACTGTTTCTTTTTCTGTAATGGGACTGACGTTTCATTGACTTTATTTTTTAATTTCAGATGAGATCAGACAAGAGCTTCAGAGTGTACTGGAGTCCTGCCTAACCAGGTAACATCTCACGTCACACCTTTACCAACTCATGCTATCAAATATTTAGTGGATGAATGTGTTAAAGAAACACACCGCAGGTGGTACCCCCCTAACACTGCTAATAATAAACCATATATGGTACCAATATTTTTCTTAACCATCTATCTGTCCCTCCACAGGGAGCACCTTGGAAACGACTTGTACCTCAATTCGCAAATGGATAGTGACCAGTATGTTTCCATAGCAACTCTGGCCAGCCTTGATAAGATCAAGACTCTAAGCACGGACTTGGACCTCATCTCCGAAATCCTGAAAAGTCAGTAGTTAATTCTGTTCATAAGCATGCTAATGAGATTATTTTTTGGGTGTAAATGTGTCCTCAAGCAGAATTTTGATGATTTACCAAATGAGGGAAATCAAAAGCATGTGTGGAAGTCGATTAAAAAAAAAAAAAAAATTATAATAATTCTTCAGTTGAAAAAGTCCAAACATGAGAAAGTTAAATCAAGATTTTCTTCTTGCTTTTAAAGCTAAAAGTGAGACCAGTGGTTTATTGTTGTCCTGAGATATTCTACTCTGTTATTGGCTGACAGCGCTGCCGCTGGTCCAGGTGGCTCCGTGTGGACAGAAGGTCCGTCCCCGTCAGAGTAGATGCGTCGTCATCCTGCGAGAGATTCCAAAAAGCACACCTCAGGAGGTAAGAGCAGCCTGCTACACAGACACAGCCCTAAACATCACTTGTTAACTTCTAGACATGTTTTTACAAATCAATGCAAACAAAGGTTAGTCACATCTTCAAGCTGGTGATTCTTTTGAGCTGTGAGTAGAAACCTTTGTTTATTGTTTCATATGATTGAAAGGAAGTCCTGACCCTTTCAGTAAGAGTTGTAATGGTCATACTGGTAAAATCCAGGGTTTTTAAATGTAACGTATGGACTCAATGATTTAAATTTAAACTTTCCTGTTGTTGTGCAGGAGGTCGAGGCTCTCTTTGAAGGGGCAACCTGCCAAAGTTCCTGAGCTGTGAGTTTGTGAGCAACGATAACTGGTTCGTCACTTTTAAATCAGAAACAGAGGCTCAACAGGTAAAATACAGCCACAACATGCGGTGACTATATTATGTTTAGAAATCTCAACCATAATTGACCCCATTTTAAGAGAAGGACTGGTACCAAACAGTGTAGTTTGTGTCATTGAAAACAAATGATTCACACACTAGCGTTAATGTCTCTGCTCGTTGTTAGGCCTACAAGTACCTCAGAGAAGAGGTCCGGGTGTTTCAAGGAAAGCCGATCATGGTGAGGATCAAAGCCAAAGCCATGGCTGTAACTTCTTTCGCACCAAAAAACGGTTTCAGACCTCCGCAGCTGGACCAGTGTGGCACCCAATACAGCTCCTTCTTTCCCCAAAGCACCTTCCAGCAGCCGTGCCACACCCACATGCCAGCACAGCAGCTGTACGACTTCACCAACGAGGTGTGGCCTACCGGATACCAAGAAGGAGCTGAGGTGAGGCCTTTCAAGATGAAACTGTATGATGGAGAGATGTGCCAGGATGATCATTATAACAGCAATATGTTTTTATTTATACTTCAACATCAAAAAGACTAAGATTGATGTATTCGCTGTGGGTTTTGGCTCATTGGATGTGTTGACCTTGTGGACACTTTCCATCTTGTTTTTCAAATTTTCATGAGCAGTGAGATTTATCTTTTGTTGTTTTTTTGCCAGCAGTCTTCAGCTCTGATAAATGACTTTATGAATGGATTATCAGCATCTTCCATCTTCAAACCTCACAACCCACACAGGCAGAGGTAAACTTACCATTCTGTTTTTCTTCATCTGATATTGAAATAATGGGTGTAAGAAGAAAGCAGTCATGTAATTATGAGCTGTGAGTAGAGCAGCTCACTAAATACGTTGATGATGGGTCGCTTTTGACTATTCATTTTCTTCAGGAGAGGCTCTAGGTGGTCAGGTTCCGGAGAACGTTGGCAGTCATCCAGTCAGAATGGTTCTTCCAACCAGTCAGAACAAGCACCGGCAGAGCGCTCGTTTTCTCCGACAAAGCGTGGTCGAGGACGGTCGAGGGGCAACACACGCAATCCGAGCAGAGGTGGAAGGTCGGAGCTCAACAAGCAGGGTGTGTCATCTGCCTCTGACCAGGGAAGGTAAGAAAATAAGCTTTCACATCAGCCCACACAAAACAAACCAACAGAGTTTGATTGATCCTGACCAAACAGGTATAGTGTTGAAGCACCTCTGGATCTAATTCCATCTGTCAAGTGTATTTGTTAGGATGGAGATGTAAGCTTACACATAAAAAATAGAACATAAGCAAGAAAACAGTCAAGCCAAAAACAACATAGAACTGCAAAGACGATCAAATGATAAAGACAATAAAAGGAACAGCTGGTGGATTTGGGGGTTTAGGCTTGAATTGCACTTAATCTTCATGATGTTGCCGTAGTTACAGCCGTGGGCCTGCAAGGAAGGGGATGATTTATAACTACAGCGTCTGTTTTCTGTTTAATTCACTCTGAATGACATTTAAGAAATGTTGCTCTTCTGAGCAGCACCCCTTACAGTCTATGAAAGATGTGCACACCTTCTGTACTATTTTCACCATTACACTTAAATGCAGCTGAATTATAAAGCAGTATTTGCTGTAACATCTCTGACCTGCTGTGTGTGTCCTCTGAAGGAGAGGAAACTTCAGCCAGAGGAGACGAGAGAACGCGAGGACATGGGACAAATCTGCTGGAAACGAGCGTGTAAGAAGCCTGCGAGAATTGTAAGTGATGTTTAAGCTAATTTTGTTGAGACTCTGCATTGACTGTGTGTGTTTGTGCAGAATGCATCAAATCAGTTGCCTCCACGTAAACCTCCGTCTCCTCCTCTGGAGCTCGGGCTGTCCAGCTTCCCTCCTCTCAATCCTGCAAACACTGCCATAGCAACGGTCCCTGCAGCTAATGACAGCGTCAAGGTAACCAAGCCTCTCTCTGTCTGCCTGATACACACACACACATTCACACACACTTTTATCTAAGTATTAAGCATAACAAGATAATATAGTCTCTTTTCATAGACGAAACCCAGACTGATAAACCTTAACAACACACATGTACTTTTGTTCATCACAGAGTCCAGCCAAAAGCAGCAGTGTGTGTCCCTCAGTGCCAGCAGAGCCAGCAGAGCCAGCAGAGCCCAGCCCACCCTCACAACAGTGAGTATATATTAAATTCTGCATCATCTGTTGTGGTTCTTCTTTGCTGCTAAAGTAAAACATGACAGAAGAAGCTTGTGCTCTGGCTGCAGATGTAGTTATTTTTTCTCTCTTGCCTCACTCCCTGGATATTTCAAACGTGGACTTTGATCTGTTTGCCAGTTTTCATGGTGCCAGCTGTGCTCTGAGCTGTGTGTAGTGAGATTGTTCTGCTGCTCTCTGTAGGAATGTGAAGGAGCATGCAGAGACGACCAGTGAGGCCAAACCAGCCCGGCCTACACAGGAAGCAGTCACAGTAAGACTTGTTCAGTTCATTTATGATTGGACTTTTTCTCCCATTTTTATTTAAGAACTATTGTAGCATTTAAAAAGCATTATTGTAAGAAATATGAATAATAACTAGTCATTGCATCAGAAACACAGAATAGTGACAGAAGAACATGGGAATATATTTTCAGCTAAAACCAGATACTTGATAGCTCATTAGTTACTGAGAGACAACAGTCCAATTGGCATTCAGCCACTTTCTAAATCACATTGCGTACATTAATTGGCATTGTGTTTTAAGCTGGGAAGTGGGTCAACATGGCTAATGGGTTTTTAACAATATAATGTTTGATCATTTGGATGGCATTATTATGAACTTTTAATCAGTATTAATAAGAAGTACAAGTAATAGCCATGTGGAGAACTTTGAGAGTTTACAAAAGGGGAAAATATGAAATGAGAGTAGTGTTACTTTGAACTCTCCATTCATGTATTCAGATTATTCTTTAAATGTTGTAAGCTCGAGAGCAGCTGCTGAGATCTAATCACACTGACTGTAGAGAGAACAGAACAGTTCGATGTGTGATCTGTTTGAAAGCCTTCAATGTGCACGAGAGGAAAGGTGTAAAAGAGACTCTGACCCCGTCCTGTGCTCTGATTGAACAGGACTCCAAGAAGCCGAGCTACGCAGAGATCTGCCAGAGATCATCAACCAACGATCCGGTGCCGCCCACTGACCTCCCATCTTCACAGACAGAGCATACCCTGACCTATCCAGGCCAAGTGTCCGGGCCAGCTCTGTGTCCTCTGTGATCTTATTGGTCGAAGCGAGAAACTTTTTTGAACCATTTTTGTCCTTTTGGCCTCATAAGCTGAGAATGTGTTGTTTTACTGTCCTAATTACACAAAGCAGCTGCCTTTTACTTTCACAAATAACCTGTGTGTACAGAGAGATGTTATATCACACACAGTGTAGGAAGAGTTTAGGGGATTATTACATTCAGCACCAAACTTAACCTTAAAATCAATTAAATTTAGGTCTAGATTTAGAAACGTAGCCCTTTAAAACCACTGCTGACATTCACTGAAGCGGGTAGTGGTGAAAGAGATCCGACTAATGCTACTGTGGATACGTAGTCTCTGACCACTCAGGATGTTAAAACCAATGTTTCAGGTTTTAGAAAGGCAGCTGTAGAGAATCAGAAACTGTTGATCTGCTACTTTATTTCAGTTTTATTTCTTGGTTTGTAGTTCAGATCAGTTTAGAGCCAGGTTCCATTTTGATTTAGTCTTGTTTTGTGGAGGGCACTGGCACTTCTTTTTCTGCCGTCTGTGTGCGTTTGATGTTATTACGCTGTACAGGATGTTCAGCAATGATTTTTTCCACACACACCTCTGGGTTATTCTTCAGTTCACACTGCTGCTGAGGACACACGTGATGCTTTTTCTCTAAATATTAATTCTACTCAGCCAGTTTGTTTCAGTTTTCAGAATTTGGTTGGAAACAGACATTAACTTCCACTTGAAAAGCACTGAATATTAATACTTTATCCTTGCATGATTTTTTATTTCATTTTAAGAATTTAATTTATGCCATATTTTTTATTTTATTTGAAAAGGAGTGCTTTAGTGTGTTTCAGGTTTGGTCTCGCCTGTGTTGGAAAGAAGTCCAGTTGATGTGCTACAGTGTACAAATTGATCAGGTGTAGCAGTTATTAATTGTCCATCAAGGAGCACTGTTTCAGCACGAGAAGTTAAACTCTATTTGATAACTTGAATTCGATTGTAATTAGCCTAAAGCTCTTTTGTTAAACATCAAATTTTAAATGTTGTCATGGAGAAAGAGTTGGCATGGTTGTGGCACATGTTACTTTGTCTGTACAGATGTACATATTATTGAACAATTATTAAAGAAGTGCCTTCAAAGTTTCAAGTATTGGTTTGTTTGTCTGCGTTAATGCAGAACTTTTAAGTCCGACCTTTGAATGCTGTGTTTAGTAGCCCACTGCTTCTTATCTTTAATTTATACATTTTATAAAAGTTTTTTTCCACACATGTTTTAAAGCCTTAATATTCTATATGACATTCTGTATTTGAAACTGCTGCACCAATATACCAAGCATCACTAAACTGAATTTCCATGTAGTTATTTCTGCTAACCAGCAGATGGCAGATGAGTCCCATCATAACAGCTATTAGTCCATTATATGTCCCGGCACTTGTTTACAATGAGGATGATTTGATTCCTGGAAGACTACAGTCCTAATGAATGTGGTGAGTAATACTAATGAAATACACCAAATTAGAAACACAAATTGATGCTCACTTATGTGTTACTGCCACATTAGGCTTGTTCAATCATACAGGACTTAATTAAAGGCTGCTTGACCTTTAATATTAATCACATTATTCTGTTGGGGTTTAGTTTCTACATGCAGATAATGAATAAAGAACGACCACACTCAAAGGCAATGTGCAGGGCAATGCAAAAGAAAACGATTACTGCTAATATAAATACATCTGCAGACGGTGTTAGACTTTAGAAAGAAAGATAACTGTAATGCCTCTAATATATAGAAAACGTTCAGAATGTTATCAGAAAGGTTAATCTATTCTGCAAATGGAAGTTAGTCACATACTTTGATTTTTTCTGGTTTAACTTTGTTTCTCCAGGAAACATACAGCAAGAAGTTTGGAAAAATAAAGAAGACTTTTCATGTTAGTGTTCCATATCTAACATAGTAATACAAATAAATGCAGGTTTTTGTGTTTGAATACTTCACAGAGAGTGTACTCTGAGAGAATAAATGATGAACTAAAAGGAGGTAGCAAAAGCACTGATGAAGATCACAAGTTGTGTCTGAAAGCACTTCAAGATTTAATCAAACCTTTAGACATTTAAAGTTATTCATGTATTTTCATAGTTTATTTTAAAGTTTCATGTAATAAATGAACCTAAAAATACAGTTTAATAATCATGGTTATTTAAAAAAATATATTCTAACATGGACTAAGTACTAAACCTCACGTCACTGTCCCCTCTAGGTGTGGTTGCTCGCTGCGCCCCCTGTCGGTGATGATCTGCACTGTCACCCCCCTCCTCCTCCTCCTCCTCCTCCTTATTTCGTAGAGTCACGTGACACCAGCGGCAAGAAGCTGCAAACAGCTCTGACTCTGGGGCTGCGCGAGCCTCATCATCATCATCACTATCACAGATACAAACACCGCAGCGGCAGCGACGAGAACCGACCGAGCAACCGGGGTCTTTACCGATTCAAAGAGCCGGGCGCCATGGCGGGCCTCCGCTAAAACGAGACCGAGATTTATCCTCTTTGTTCTCCCTCGACGCTTCTTCGTCTTTCCGCGCCGGAGCCGAGGAGGGGCCGCCGAGAAACAGCTCTTCCTTTCCGAGCGAAGGAGGAGGCAGGAGTAGAAACAGCAGCAGCAGCGGCGGCGGCGGAGGCGGCAGCAGCAGCAGCAGCGCTGTAACCGGGGAGGTGTTTTCTACGGAACGAGACGAATGGCGGACCGTGAGGCGTCGCCGATACCGCTGGAGATCCGAGCCCGGCTGGCGGAGCTGGAGCTGGAGCTGTCAGAAGGTAAGAAATTATTAAATTCATGGCGAAAAAAAGCGCAAGCCTCCCCCCCCCTGTTTCCCCTCGTTATCCCGTTATCTCATCACCACCACCACCACCACCATCATCATCATCATCACCATCCACACCGGGAGCCTTCCTACTAACGGAATCTAGCCCCCCTCCTCATCCACCTCCTCCTCCTCCTCCTCTCGTCCCCTCCCGCTCCTCCCATCCAGATGTTTGTCAGCCACCGAACCGGCCTGCCCAGCTCTCTGTAGCCGGGAGAGGATGAGCGCAGAGCGGGAACACACTGCGGGATTCGGCCGCTGCTCTTTGTCTGGTGCAGCTTTAAAAAAAAACAAAAAAAACACCAACACTCGACCAGGCCTGTTCGCCCGAATTGGGTCCGAAATCCAGCCCGTTGTTTGACCTTGAGACGTTGACACAATCAGCCGAGCCTACCTGTGTGTGCGTATGTGATTCTGTGTGTGTGTGCGTGGTGTGGGTTTATTAATAGCATTGCGATGCAACGCTGCGTGACAGAGCAGCACAGAGGGGCAGTTTGGCGTTTGATGCCCGTGATCTCAGCCTCCTGCCTCTGTGTATTTGGGGCCTGCAGAGCAGCTGAGGAAGAGGAGGATGCTCTGGAATATTTTTTCTCCCTCCCTTCTTCTCTTCCTCTTCCTCTTTTTTTTCCATGGGCAGATACACAAACTCTCCTTCTACGGGCCATTGAATCTCAATCACAGCAATAAACCCTGCTGTTATTTCAGCGTCTCAGATAGGAACATGGCATTTCTGCCTTATATAATGGGGATGGCATCTTTTATTCATACAGGCTCGGGAAGGCCTACATTGTGAGGCTGGAAGCCTAGATAAATGCTGGATGTGAGCCACCCTTTTGCCTGAAATGTTTCATTTATTGTTGATAAATGTGCGCCAGTGTTAAGAAACACAGATGTGTGTACGTGATTCTGAAACTTGGGTTCATTGTGTCGCTTTGCTGTGCAGAAAATAATTAGTTTTCCTCGTCTGTCAGTCTTGTCAGATCTGCAGTTAAACCTGTCTTACCTGCAGTGATGTGCAGCTGTAGGTACTGTCTCATGACAGAGAAGATTAAACACTGTTTCAGGGTGTAGATTCTGGGGCAGAATATGAATAAATTAGTGTGAAATTTAAATGTACAGACAATCGGGAATCTGCAGCTTTAATCCGCTAAAAACATCAGCACAAGCCTTTGAAGCAGTGAAACCTCGACAGATCAAACTGTCCCCTCTCCTTCGGATCAGCCTCATCATTCATAAAAGCCTTTATTTTCACCCACTGCAGTGACACACACAGACTTTAAGGTAAAACCGAGGTAGCTGCAGGCCGATTGGTGCTACTAATCCAGCTGAGATTGTTTATCAGAGCAGAACCTGCTGCTGGCAGATGTTATTAATGATGGAGACTGCAGGAGGAAGTGGATACGTCACGCCCCAAACGTCAGACAGCATGAAACACTCCTAACACTCAGGTGTATGAAGTCTTGTGTGTATGTGTGTTCAGGACTGACAGGGTTATTGGTGGATCACAGCAGGATGAAAACCTGACAGGCCACCTGACAGCGTGATGGACGTGTCGGTGTGTGCGTCTGTCACTGGTGCTATTCCAAAACGGAGGGCGAGAATGTGTCTGCTACTGTTTTGTGTGCTGTTCATTTATGAAGAATGTAAGGCTGTGTGTTGTCACTTCAAAATAAGGACACAGTGTGCATTGATGGCATTTTTTAAAGAGGATTTAAATTGGTTGGAAAATAAAACAGTTTGTCAGTTTTACTTGTTTTACATTGTTATGTATTTAGTGTCAAACACTGTTTGAAAAAAGGAGCACATTTTCAAGTTTGATGCTTATGGTACTTAATAAATGGCTTGGATAAGTAAATGATCATTTCAGCACTAGAACAAATAGTTCATAATAGGAAACATCCCAAAATTCAGGGACATCAAACAAGTATTTGAGGGGGTTTACTAAGTTTTTAAACCACAAAGACCTGCTCCCCAATAAGTCGAGTTTCTGAGGACACAGCTCTTATTGAAATGCAAAGTATTAAACCGCAGGCAACAATTTCCTGTCAGTTTTGATGGGTTGCGCCTCGGGATGAAACTTTTTCTACGTCTTTGAGAACCTGCGCTCCACCTGTTTATTAGATAAACTCAGCAATCAGCCCAGCTGTGGCAGATAAGCCTCTGCCGCTCCCTCGCTTAGTGTCGCCTAAATCATGTCATCCCTGCAGTGTTGCTGTGACCTCCAGGCATTACGCTGCTGTTCTCGAGCCGTCAGCTGCTGCTCTTTTGCAGATGGGACAAACAGAGCTGTTGATGGTTGATGTTTGTGTTACAGGACAGCCTCTTTAACGGCCAAAATGTATTGTTGGTTCAGGAGTGGTCTGAGTTACAAACTCCAGCACTGAGATGTCCTACAGACCCTAATTTAAACATTAAAGTCATATGCAAAAGATACAGATGCTTCTGTTGTGATTAATGTCCTCAGGAGATATTTTGTTGAGGATTATTTGAGCAAAAACAGACGCAGGATTTGTGTGAGGTGTCCAAAGTGTTGAATAATGAACTGCCTGACCAACAGAAACAAAGAGAAACAGATTTCAAATGTCCACACATGCATTTCAATCAACATAGTGCTATTAAGGTGTGAATCCGACAGCACGTTTCTCTTCTTTGCTGAATATTTCAAAGCATATCAAAGCTTGGTATAGTGCAGTGTCTGTATTTTCCCCAACAACACTCATGGATGTACAGTTTCTGTGCTTGTGCGTAAAAACAACAACGTGCAGCTGTTGCCTGAAGCGCTGTATTTTAGGTCATTGTAGACTTGTTTTTCTATCTCTGCATTGCCTCACGATGCACAGAAATCACCTTCTTATTGTTCATGAATAATCTCTGATAAATTACTTTAGATTATGTTGTTAATTTAGTTAATCCGTATCAATTGAACTAAGTAGTTTTAAAGATGCTGTGGAATATAGTTTGTTTCTGAACATGAATGAAACTGAATGACTCTGATTTGACTCTGACTCTGTCTTACTTTGGAGGCAAGCATAGCTGTAATAAAGAGAAAGGGAATATACAGTATATATATATAATTAAATATGTAGACATGGTTTAATATAAATATAGTTAATAGTTTTACTGTTATTCTGCTGTACTTATCAGCAGTTAAGCGCTCAGTGAATCTGTGGAATTATTTATATACTTAAATCGATTTCTAAATCCTACATCTGTTCTGACTGTGTGCCATTTGAAGACAGCAACATCTGAAAACAAACTACTGTGTTCAACACATTCAAATTAGAACAAAAAGAAGACTCCATCTTGATTTGGATATTGTCAGAAGAAAGGCACCAATCAGTTATTTCCAGTTCCGATCCAATTCTGCAACATACACCGATCCAATACTGATTCTTCTATTTATTTGGAACCATAATTAATAGTGTTGTTGTCTTTTGTATCGTGTGTAAGGTTACACAAAGCCGTAGTAAACCCAGCATTGCATTTTCTTATTGTAAGAACAAATAACAATTAAAACTATTCAAAATAAATGTATTTGAACGTTGTGCTAACTTCTCATACAAACAGGTAGCAGAAACAACTGTAAGGTTTTCAAATGAAATATTTTAAGCTAAAGTGCAAGAATTTACTTTTTTTTATCATAGGAGCTGTTCCATCTCGTCTGAATGTCTGAATGGAGACAATTTGTGGGCACTGGCAGTTCAGTCTGAAAGTCTTTAAAGCGAGACATGTGTTGTTGTCAGTGTTGTTCATGGTTCAAGAACCTTTACCAGGAGTTAAATGATCTGTTAAAGTGTCCTACTCTCCAGAACATCTGCAACCTGTGTTTTAAAATGGCAAAACAATATAATATGTTTCTCTTTGACAAGTTTTCTAGGGCTGCACCCGAGCTGCGTCAAATTTCAGCTCACCAAGCTCACTGAAATCCTAAACAACCCCATGCAACCCTGACATTTTCTAGATCATTTCAGAACATTTTGGACCTGAAATGTTCAGGACTTAGATTTCGCTCATACACTTACAGCAGGAGTTGGTCTGTGTCAAAAGCTCGCACAGCTCAAAAGTTTCCATTTGGTTAATGTAAAGGACGAAGAGAAGTTGTCCTCTGTAATGGTGACTGTCTCTGTGTTAATATCACTACAACATAAGGATATTTGCACAACACAAACACAACAGTGGAAAACATAATTCAGGGAACTGCAGCAAACAGTTAAAAGTATAAAGCAGATAAACTCCCCTGAACGTGAACAGCATCATCGCCCCATTTTCCAGACCATCACCTGCTGCGTTCACACATGGGTTCATTCCGACTCCACACAAACTTTTCACCTGCGGACAAGCAAGAAAAACTCAGTTTGAAGGTCAGATTAGTGGATTCAAAGATTTGGTTTTCTTGTATGCAGCCTACCCGGTCAATGTCCAGGAATTTTAGGGGGTGCTGTGCATGTATGAAAGGAACTTTAGTTAAAATCAACATACCGGCAAATGACCTGAAAACTCTGAAAGTAGGCTGTCTACCCAACAGCTGGTGCCTAGGACAATTATGATAAATAATCATCGAAACAAGAGGCTTATGTAAGTCGAAGTTTGATGTGGTGCTGAACGAAAAAAAAAAAGAGAAATGTGAATAATAGCCTTTTTCTGAAACATGTATCTGAAGAATATTAAGAGGAAGATTTTCTCAAATGTTGATTTTGTCTAAAAACAAGAAGCTGTACAGAAACTTCAACTAAATAAAACTTACTTGTGAATCTTAATTTGTATCCAACTAAAGAAAGCAAGTGACACTGTTTATGTTGAGACATTTGGTGCTGGCTTTGGTCCTTGACATTTTTTAGCATTGACGTTTGATACTCAGCCTATTGATCACTAATGCAGTATTCTAAATTTGACTGAAAAGTCACAGAACAAAAGCCATGTGTTTCCGGTTTAGAACTGGAAACAAACCAGTGA